TCCGCTTTTTGATAATAAACATTATATCGAACATTTATCGAACTCTTCATATCGTTTTATCGAGGAAAATTATACCGCGATAATTATCGTTATTGAATTATCGCCCAGCCCTAAACCTACCTAATCATTTTTCAGACATGACTAGTTCAGACTCTATGACACAATTCAATATCAGAAACACAGATATGAATAACTAACACAACCAATTCAGACTGTTCATCAAGACTTTCAGCTAATGAATGTGTGCATATTAGGAGTTTGAATGAAAAATGCTTTCAAATGGACTATTCAATTCAGACAGTCCATTTCAAATTCTGATATCAAGACGAATATGTGCAAAAATGGGAAAAAGTGGGCCAGTTTTCATCTTATTGCAAACCAAGCATAAAATTAGGATTGAATTCCACAGCAGGAATGCACACATTCATTCAAACATGACAGTGACTACGTTTACATGGACATCAGTAATCTAATTATTTACCTTATTCTAAATAAGACAATATTATGATTAAGTTGTTTACATGAGCTGCTTTTAGAATATTCCTTTCATGTTCCCGTTTTACATGTTATAGTAGAGGTAATAATGTGATTAAGGTGTTTACATGTCTATACTGCACTTCAGTAATGCGACTAAAATAGGAATACTACACGTGTCTTAATTCGATTTGTGTTTACTTTGAGTATGACTTTAGCCAGATTAGGGTAATTAAAAATCTCTGTTTACATGGTAGATTCTTAATCGGAGTATTGTCTTAATTGTGTTAAAATCGGAATATTGTTGTCCATGTAAACATACTCATTGAGCCCACCGTCTGCAACAGCAGTACTGTACCAGTGTTCTCTACAAACAAATGAGAAAGCAACTTCATGCATTTTATAATATTAAGTAATTCTATAAATCAGTGAAGAACGTATTTAAATACTTTGACTGACTGTGATGTTCTAAAACTCAATAAATATCCAAATTTATTGAGCTCCAAATAAAAGGGGGTCAATTCCATCTCATGTGATCCAAAAATTTGAAATTTACATAAAAATTAAAATAAGCATAAAGAACTGGTGGTTTTGCAATAGCAATAAATTGTGATTATCACTCAGAATAACTCAGCCTCCACTGATCAACTAAGACAGACTGACCCATGCACCAAAAAGGTGAGTCCTATTAATTTAGGGAAGCATGCTGTCAGCTTCACAGATGCAATGAAGGAACGAGGTCTGCTTATTTACTTAAATTCAAGAAACTCTACATCACATACTTGCAGGATGACTCTAGCGATTTGAATTTAAAAAGCATTATTTTAGGAGCATTTCCTACTCCCCTTCCAACTTCCAAATCCAAAACTCTTCATCATAACAGGTAAATTTATAAATAATCTATCTATCTATCTATCAATCTATCTCACAATGGCACTTTTAAATGCATCTTTCAATGGAGATTCTACCAATGGCATGTTTCAGCATTCATTCCTGTGCCGATGCTTATCAACTAACAAGGGAGGATAAATTACATGGAAAAGGACTTCCGAGTAAAATTCTAAATTACACAAGAAACTCAACATCTGATATCAAAAAAGATCAGGATGACCATATATGTTATCCACACTAAACGTTTTAAATCTTTCAAATGCCACAGACCAAATATGCCCAAATGTGACCCTGGAGCACAAAACCACTCTTAAGTAGCACGGGTATATTTGTAGCAATAGCCAAAAATACATTGTTTCATTACACCAAATACACAAAATAATGTTCTTTTTAGCAGCATCATATGACCCCTTTAAGTAAAGATCATGTTCCATGAAGATATTTTGTAAATTTCCTACTGTAAATATATTAAAACTTAATTTTTGATTAGTAATATGCATTGCTAAGAACTTCATTTGGACAATTTTAAAGGCGATTTTCTCAATATTTTGATTTTTTTGCACCCTCAGATTCCAGATTTTCAAATAGCTGTATCTCAGCCGAATATTGTCCTATCCTAACAAACCATACATCAATGGAAAGCTTATTTATTCAGATGATGTATAAATCTCAATTTCGAAAAATTGACCCTTATGACTGGTTTTGTGGTCCAGGGTCACAAATATGATCATGAAGGCCCTCCATCCTTAAATTGAAAAGCCAGCTTTTTATTTTCATTGAAAAACAAACAAACAAACATTTATACTATGAAAAACTTAAATTATAAATATGCATTTTTGGGGGGAAATTTACATTTCTATTTTTTTCTACTATTACTGTACTTTTATTTATTTAAATATTATAATCAATTTATTAAAAACTATTTTTTAAAATTTGTTTATTTCGAAGTATTTGGTTAGATATAAAAATAAATGAATAAAAATAACTCAAATAATATGAATAAAATAAATTAATATATTTAAAAATATTTAAACAATACATCAGTACAGTACTATATTAAGCAGATAGCAAGATTGATTGATTGATAAACAGATACATAAAAAAACTGTATCAGAACGTCTACCTAACAACTCCATTTAGTACTGTACTTTAAGATGTATTATTTAAATAATTTTTATTGATTTATTTTTTACACTGATTTTCTCTAAACGTTTTCACAGATCCCTTAGCACTCCTCTGATCCACACCATACAAGTGAAGTATAAATTCAGCTTCATTTAGAGATTGTCAAGCCCTCCACTATCAGGACAAGACTGCAGGGGTGCACACACCCTTTGCCACATGTCACCATGTGTCTGTATGACTATCCAGCTCTTCCACATGCTGTGTAGAGGTTTATCTGACCCACAAGGATCTGTCCGTACTGCTAGATAAGACAATGCAGGACATGAGTATGAAAAGGCCAGTGATATGCCTACAGGTAGCTACTCAAGTTTGCTGGAGTGAGTGGATTGAGAGCAAGACACACACGATGTTACTGCATCAACCCAACCACCCACCCTAAATACAATTTACTGACAGATTACCAACCCCCAATAAGACAACAACCCATTTGCCCACCCTTTTTTACATTTTAAACCCCCTAACAATAACATTTGTGTTAATGGATTAACAGCTGGGTTGAAACAATTGGTTTCAAAACCTATAAAGCTGCCTAACTAGACATGTTTATGGCATCACGGGCGTTAGGTAATGCGATGTTTAGCTAGGCAGCCCACTAGGTTTTGAGACACAGCCAGTGTCTGAAATAAAGAGGCACAGACAGGAGGGTGGCTCACAGGATGCCTGAGCAGGACGTGCAGACGAACGAGCCCACGGTCATGTTGGCGTAGGTCGGGCCGCGCTGATCGCAGTCGAAGCATTTTCGGTTGGGGGCCAAACTTGTCATTTCCCGCAGCATCTTCAGGTGTTTTTCCTCCTGCTTTCGCTTCGCGCTGGCTGCCATGGCCGGAGTCGTTAATATAGCGTCGGTCAATTAAAAAAAAGAATGTAATAAAAATCCAATATGTGTTCCTGGGGAAATATTAGACAGGGGCTTCCTTTAAAACGTATCACCGGGAAACGGGAAGGTAGGACGGACCGGAGTTCTTCAGAAGGGCCTCACGTTTCGCGAACAACGGGCGAAAAGCGCCGGCCGTAGTGAAGAGAGGAGGGTCCTGAGGCGCAGACACTTTCTTTAACGGCCAGCCTGCCCACTCTACTTTCACTGCCAGTGCAATAGCCCTCCCACTCTGTATTCATTTGAACATAACGACCAACAGGGGGCGAGTAACTACTAATAATAAGTACTCAACGGAAGAAATACCAAAGGGCTCAATGCTAAAACTGTCCATAAGTCTTGTTGTGCGGTGTAAATCTATATGGAAATATAACAAATATACATTCATAAATAGCTTTGCTCAATATTCGTAATTATAAGTGAGAAAAAATTTGATATTGTTGTGTAACAGGGCTAATAATTGTATAAACCCACTAGCACTAAAGCGAAAACTCTGGAACAGGAAAGTGAGTAACCAATCACAGGCGCCAACTTGGATCACGTGACCATAACTGAGCCCTGCCCACGTTCTCGCCTTCATTTAAATGTTCTTAACCAGCAGCGCCCTCTAGAGGAACACATGGACGCAACACAATAACAACCGGCTCCAATTCTCTGCAAGAATGACCTAATTCAGAGGATTTGGCTCGCTGAGGACATGAATCGACTTTATTAATCACCTTTTGTTTTTAGGATGGCCATGAATATGTATAATGAAGTGATAAATGAAGCTGCCTAAATTAAATAAAGCAGTTTTGTGTTGCATTGGCCAAATGCTGTGTGGGAGAGACTGGGGCTAGTTGTCCCCTTTTACCTCAGTGAATATTTTTTCACGTTTTGTAAAGGCATATGCCTTGAAGTCTTGACTACCCACACTTATTACCTTATGTGACAGGGGAGTGGAAGTTTTGTATGTTTGCAGAAAATATGGGTCTCAGATTATATGGAATCGCCACATATACACCGTAAAAAAATTCTAAGCAGTAAATAAAACCAAGATTATTAGAGTACGCAAGTGTTACTGGCTTTTTCTTTGCAATTGTCTCGGCTAACAATTTGTATGAAGACTTTTAAGTTAAATTCCAAGTGACAGATTGGATTATGTTACAAGAAGTTCATTTTATTAAGTTTCACTGGCATTTAAAACATATGAACATGGTGGTTTGCTCATCAGGGTTCATTAAGATTATAGACATAGCAAGATGTAAAAAACGGTAGGTTGAATACTGTAAGATAAAAAAATCTTCAAACATAACAGAAGAGCAGTTATCTGCATTTCTAATCACCACTCGTGCTGGCCAACTTAGAATCTGCTGATTAGATGAGTCAAACATCTTTATGGTGACCAACTTAGAACCACTGTGCAAAACCAGTATCCATGACGACACAAAAAGTTCTATCCAGACTGAACACTTCAAACGGAACATTTTGTTCAGAACTTTTATAAGCAATGAAGCTTACCATTTATATACATCAACAATATGCAGCAATAGATGAAAGTACATCTAAAGAACGTGCACCTGCAGAACAGATGAATGCTCTTAAGGTAGATGTATATGATGTTTTTAATTATCATAGTAGGCTATGTGGTACATCAAGATTTTCAGTCTTTCTGGGATATTAAATTGGACTCCAGTGACCCAACGGGCACATTTCAGCAAATTAAATCGAGTTTCAACCTACATAAGCAGATGATGATGAATGTACATATTTTGGCTCTTCAAAAAGTGTCCCACTGGAATCTGCTCTTCAAGCCACAGTACAAAACATCGACCGCTGGAGTCTGTCAGTTATCCGCTGGTGAGAGCCTGTGCGCTGGGCTTCTGAAGCTGCTCGCGGGGGGCAGTGAAGTCCCACGGTCTGCGGTTCTCAGTGAAGCCGTAGAGTTTCCTCAGAGCCACGCGCGCTGCCTCCTCTTCGGCTGCTAGGACAGTCTCGCCTGGACCCTGAGCCAGCAGTTTACGGTCACTGACACAAAAAAAGATTTGGCATTTTAAAAATCAATCAAAAACCTAAACTGAGAAGAGTATTGATTATTGGTTTCCTGGAGTAGAGACCAGAATAAATCTGACTCGACCCTGAAATGACACTTCAGATTAATCAACTAGAGCTTTATTTACAGACTGTGGAGAATATAGATCAGGGTTTAGATACAATGCAGTGTGACATTACACATTGTTTTTTAATGTTCATTTTCTGTTACTAACTTATCAGTGAAATTATCAATGACCTCATGCAGCTTATTAACCCTTGTGTCATACCTGTAAAGCCCGACGAAATAGAGCGGGAGGACGGTACTGGCTCCAGCAGACCGGATGAGACGGGGCTCGGGTAGAGCTATACCTTTAAGGGTCAGTTCTTTAACCAGCAGCCCCATGGGATCAACCACTTTCCACATGTCAAACAGATCTTTCCCTATTAGTTGAGTCACCAGGAAATCCTGCAAAACCACACACCCAACAGATGGACCAACAAGTGCACAAAGATTAGGGTCTGTAACACATACCATTATAATATAATATTAATGTAATGTAATATATAGGGATGAGCATTTTGGCAATTTCTCATTTCGATCATCGATAGGTTTCAAAAACGAGTACTCGAGTACTCGGGGACGGGGCATGGCCGTAATGGAGATAATGAAAATATCTGAAGACTGTTATGAAATAAATAAAAATATGACATGAAAACCTGTCTATGAAAACATGAACACATGATTAGAACACTGTTAGATTATGATTATGATGCAGCAATGTTATTAAAAAAGAAGCATCTAAAAAGGAATAGCTGCCTGGGGTGAAGCTGAAAAGTGACTTCATGCCAATAAACTGAAGCCTGTTCTATGAGACATCCTTTGATATTAATCAGATAACTTAGATACATAACATAGATGTAACATTACAACTTGTATCTGCACAAAAGGATGCAAATGCCAGTGAACTTTAAGTTACGCGCTATATCGTGAGAGAGCTCCCTCCGTGATGCACTTTCATGACAGCGTGCTGAAACACGGGTAAGGAAAGCAGACAGAATTTACTATAGATTTCAGTTCTATAAAGTTCTAATTATAATGCT